GCCTGCTTCTCCCTCTCCCACTCCCCCTGCTTGTGTTCCCTCTCTCTCTGTGTCTCTCTGTCAAATAAATAAAATCTTTAAAGAAAAAGAATGAAGAAAGGAGGATGATCCAGCCAGTGGTACCACTTACCTGCTGGGGGGAATCGTTTTGGATCCTCTTATCAAAATTAATTACAGGTAAATAAAAGTATTGTTTTTTGTTTTGTTTTTTAGATTTTATTTATTTGATAGAGACAGTGAAAGAGGGAATACAAGCAGGGGGAGTGGGAGAGGGAGAAGCAGGCTTCCCCCTGAGCAGGGAGCCCGATACGGGGCTCGATCCCAGGACCTTGGGATCATGACCTGAGCCGAAGACAGATGCTTAACGACTGAGCCACCCAGGTGCCCCAGAAGTATTGGTATTTTTAAATGTATGAACTCTGGCTGGAAGAGAACCCAAGCTTAAAAAGAGCTCAAAAGGAAGTAATTGCTAGAAATGATTAAAAATCTAAATAACTAAACACTTCTATATCGATGAACAAAATTGAAGGCAATAGCAAATAAAAAACAACTAGGGAAATAATGTCTTCTGCAAATAAAACATCCCAAAACTTTGGTGAGAAAAACATGAGTCTCAAATAGTAAATTATCCCAGGCTATCAAGAGACATCGAAAAGGAGCCACAAAAGGCTAAGTAGAATTGTTTTTCAAAGTGCAACTTTGCTAATTATTAAAGGAATCCAAACTTAAAACAGTGAGAGACCATTTTCACCTCTGTATCAGCAAACTTTTATTACCTGTTGGGGACGGTGCTATAAGAGGCGATTTCCTGCAATGTTCCTGAGAGCCTTTCTGGAAAAGAAGATGGCAGACTGTTATAGGAGCCTCAGATCTGAAACGCACGTGTGGAATTTACATCAGTGTTTGTTTATGGGTTTTTGGTTTTTTTTTTAATTGAAGTATAGCTGATGTATACAGTATTATATTACTTTCAGGTGTACAATATAGTGATTCAACAATACTGTACATTACGAAATGCTCGCCACAGTAATTGTACCAACCACTTAGCACCATACAAAGTTATTACAATATCATTGACTGTATGATAGTATTATGTTTTTTTTAAGATTTTATTTATTTATTTATTTGAGAGAGAATGAGAGAGAGAGAGAGAAACAGCATGAGAGGGGAGAGGGTCAGAGGGAGAAGCAGGCTTCTCACTGAGCCGGAGCCCGATGCGGGACTCGATCCCAGGACTCCGGGATCATGACCTGAGCCGAAGGCAGTCGCTTAACCAGCTGAGCCACCCAGGCGCCCTGATAGTATTATTTTTAATAGTAAGTAGCTTAAATGTCCTGAGAGAGTGACTGGGTACATTATAGTGCGTTCCTGGCATTGAAAATGGTTTATGAAGAATTTCATAATGATATGAAAATGTTCAGATGTCAATGATGGAGAAACATAGGGACAAATAGAACCTAAATGTGTGAAATCTCAACCATAAAAAAGAAAATTGAGAGGCACCTGGGTGGCGCAGTCAGTTAAGCGTCTGACTCTTGGTTTCGGCTCAGGTCGTGATCTTGGGGTCTTGGGATTGAGCCCCACATTGGGCTCTGCATTCAGTGCAGTTGGCTTGAGACTCTTTCACCCTCTGTCCCTCCCCACTGCTCTCTCTAGCTTTCTCTCAAATAAATAAGTAAATCTTTAAAAAAAAATTAAAAAGAAAATTAATAGAAAAATAGATGAGAAAAAAAGAAAAACTAATTCTTTTCAAGTTCTTTAAATCTTTTTGTATAGTATAAACATTCTACAATACCAATGCACACATACATACATACCTGTATATATGTATATAAAACACTTTGATCAAAAATATAGTTCAAGAAAATGGGTGAGTTTTTGTTTCTGTTTTCAGACTAATCCTCGCAGTCAAGATATAATTATACAGTCACTGGACAACCTTGATCTTGTTAGATTTGTAAGATAGAATAAAACTTCATTGTTTTTCTTCACGAAGAGATGATTATAGTCTGAAGTTTCAAAAGCAGCACAGAAATAAGGAAGTAACAGCTCGACTAAGCCAGTTTTCCCAGTGACAAGAAGTAAAGGCTTTCAAGGGGGAGCTGGCTTTGGGCTTGCCTCACTGGGAGCCCGCACGCTGCCTCGCGGCCGAGGCCCACCCGACCTGGGGAGCCACACCCGACCTGGGGAGCCACACCCGCACCCCCGCTTCTTGGACGGCTGCGGGCTGCCCACACCTCCCTGCACCGCCTCTCACCTGCTCTCCACCACTAGAGGCTCCAGTAGACTTTCTCTTTTCCAAGGACACTTCCTTCGATCAAAGTGCCCTAAATTTGGAGGGCTGACTGGCCTGTAGCTCAGGCCGCAGCTGCCCCCAGCACTGCCGAGCACACCCGTTCGCTGGCCATTTCTCCACCGCCTGCACTTGCTCGCCCTGGTGCTCAGTCACCGAGACCACGTCCTCAGCCTCAGTGTGGCTGCCAGGTAGTTCAGTTGCTTTTGAAATACTGTTCTTGCAGCTGCTATTTATTTTCTTGAGAGCTAAAAAAAAAAAAAAGTCTTGCAGCTTTATTTGTATAATATAATCTTGCCTGGAGATGTAATGTTTTTGTCTGGGTTAATAAGTCCTACGTTTGCAATGGAAATGGACATTCTTGAAAATGATTTTTTTTTTTTTTTTTACTAAAAGCGGATTTATGAAGCTCCTGAAATTTAACTGTCACCTTGCTTGTCCTAAGTAATTTGCATAGGCCAAGATCCACAGTCTCCAGTCTTTTTTTCTAGTATAAGCACCTCTCAGACTTTCACCCATGTGAGTTCCGATGAAAATTTCACAAGTTTTTACTTTGAAATCAGCTGTTGAGGAAGAAGAGCTGGTGTGTGATCCATCAGCTGCTCCCACTGGGAGCACAGACGGTAAGCGCGGGGGCAGGTGAGAATATGCCACTGCTCCCGGAGCATCAGAGAAATCGGCAGAGGTGACCTCTGGGAGCTCAAGCCCTGGGAACTCTCGTTCCTGACCCTGGCGCTGGATGTCATGGCCGTGTGGACAGTGCCCCTCACGTATCAGAAATGGAAGAGAGCAGGCAGTGGCCGCCCACCAAGATGTCACGGCTCTTGATTCTGGCCCCTTCCATGATACCAAATAACACAAGAAAGTGCCTGCCGCCGCAAGCTCCTCTTTACCTTCTCAGGTCTTCAAAGGATTGCAGGTCATCAATAGTAAGACCTCACATTAGTCATGCTAAATAATGGGACCAAGTTAAGATATTAGATTGCTATGTAGAGTGCGCTTTAAAGTAAAATAGAGGGTAGAGCTTTTAGAGGCGCCTGTTACTAAAATGTTCCTTTCTGTCTATTATGAGCCTAAGAGTCTTTTGCTCTTCCATCAGGTTATCTGTGCAACAATAGCATTCGGAATGGGGATTGACAAACCCGACGTGCGGTTTGTGATCCACGCGTCTCTCCCTAAGTCTGTGGAGGGCTACTACCAGGAGTCCGGCAGAGCTGGGAGAGACGGGGAAATATCGCACTGCCTGCTCTTCTATACCTATCATGATGTGACCCGACTGAAGAGGCTCATACTAAGTAAGCTAAGCCCCTGTCCTCTTCAGTCTCCTGATAGAGTCTGCTCCTACCATTGTGGTGCTTTTGCTCCAGCTTTCTTTAAATGGTTATAAAAATATTACATGCTTGTCATGTAAAACTCAAATGATACGGACGTGTGTATACAGACATGTACACGGCAGAAGATGTCCAGACCGTGCCTTGCATACAGTCCTGGCCTAGGAAATAACTCCAGCTGTCGGCTTCCTGTGTATCCTTCCAGATCCAACCTCTGCATGCGTCCTTGCGTGTAACACATATTTCAAACATGCAGAAAGGTAGAATGGGAAAAATAACGAACCCTCACATACCACCGGGATAAGAGATAAAACCCCCCGTATATCCCTCTCCTACCTCAGCCCTCCACTCCCCCATCAGAGAGAAGCAGTATCTTGTATTTGGTGATTACCCCTGCCATGTGCATATATTTTGCCATTTGTGCTTGGGATTATATTATATGCCTTTGTTATGTACGTATAGTTTGTTTTCAGTCCACACTAGGATGGAATTATGACTCCAACTGATACATGTAGTTCAACTACATAGAATTCCATGTCTATTTATTTTTTTAATAAAAGATTTTATATACTTGTCAGAGAGAGAGAGAGCACAAGCAGGGGGAGCGGCAGGCAGAGGGAGAAGCAGGCTCCTCGCTGAGCAGGGAGCCCGATGCAGGACTCGATCCCAGGACCCTGAAATCATGACCTGAGCCAAAGGCAGATACTTCACTGACTGAGCCACCCAGGTGCCCCTGTTTAGTTTTAAAAGCCTGGATAGAACAATTTTGGCAGAATGGTAATGGCAAAAGCTAGAATGGAGGTGCCGAGAATTGAAATTGGATGTACGGTTAGTTGGTTGGGGGCCTAAGTGTCTTCTGAGAAACTTGCCATTGGAGGGAAAGAAAGAGATGAGGTGCCAGCCACAGTGGAATATAGGGTCCAGAGGAGCTTCTGTTGCTTTTAGGATTGGTGGTCCTATAGAACATACTCAGACAAAAGGGAAGAATTCGTGGAAGAGACTGAAATACAAGAGAGGAGAGAGTGGAGAAAAGCTCCCTAAGGAAGCGGGAGGGAGGAAGTGGGCCACCAAGAGCAAAGGGCCATCGAAAGGGGAGTGCGTCTGTCTCTGAGTCAGCCAAATCCCCTTTGGGGCTCAGAGCAGAGGACGGTGACCCATGATGTGCTCTTCGCGTACACAGTCAAAACTTGGGAACGCCGGTGGCCTAAAGACGTGTGTTTTCTCTGATTTCTTAATCTTTTAAATAATGTTTTGGCTGGCTCTGCTTGTCAACCTCGTCCTGGCGACTGGGCTCCCGACTCACCTATCTTTCTACACATTCTCTTCTACAGCCCTCCTGATTCCTTGTCATCTCATCCATAGACATTTGCTCCTTATCCCCGTTCTGTCCACGAACCCTTCACCTGACTTCCGTTCCAGGGTTCTGTTATGCAAGCTGCCGGTGGTCGTATTCAGCTTGAGATGGCTTGATAATTAGGTTGGCATAGTGGAAAATCAGTGTTTAATGTGTGAAGGTGGCTAAAACTGTATTTTCTTACAATAACAAAATTTTATGTTTGGGACTTCTAGGTTCAGCATGAGCTTTAACAGACATAATCTGAAATACTACGTGTTACCGAAAAAACCCAAGAAGGTGGCATTTGATTGCTTAGAATGGATCAGAAAGCATCACCCAAGTGAGTACAGCCATGTGACAGATTATGTCCAGAAGTAATAAATGTCTTTTTATTACCACAATAGAATATATCAGTGTGGGCGCCTGGGTGGCTCAGTTGGTTGAGCATTGGACTCT